GGGTTTTTTGACACTCACACTCGGACCAGCCTGGCAAGGTCCACCACGATACTGTCTTCAGAGAATCGTTAACAGAGCATCAAAGTAGTGAAGTTTAGGGTTTAGGATGTCGGGCCGTTGCTTCGTGGATTGTGTTCAGAGCTGTTCTGCCCCTGCACGGACGCATGGACTTTGGGGCCCTTGAACCTGACAGCCCTAGAAACCTAGAGCCCTAAGATTAAGGCATCTAGTACTGATGGTGTGGAATTTCCTGCATTACCCATAATAAGGAATATACCATAATTCCCATCGTTCAGGGTCCTTAAGGAAACGCAGACATTACATCCTCAACTTACATCATCAACCGTAGTATCAGGATCCTCTCCTTTAAGAGAGAACGGTGTATTCAACTAGGGTCCCTTGTGCCCGAGATACCCTAAACCCTAAACCCTAAACCCTAAACCCTAAACCCTAAACCGCTTCAAGTTCATGGAGACCCCGACCCGGCCTTACAGGAGGTTCAGGGTTAACAAGGCCTTCATGGCTCAGGGCTTAGGGCTCAGGCTCTACGAGTTAAGGGCGTAGCGCTTAAAGGGGTTCAGGGTTGATGGCTTTAGAGAGTTGGTATAGATTTCAGGGCTTTGTGAGGCACAAGTTCAGCATCCTTCGTGTCAGCATGTGTTGGGATAGTTTAATTATCGTTTAGGGTTGGGCGGCTCGGGCTTCATCACCATGACAAACCATGACCATCGACTGGGCCTTCACTATAACAAAGATTGCTCCGTGACTTTACTGTAAGGCAGCCCTAGTTGCAAGCCCGGAGTCCCCAAAGGCCTAAACTCTAAACTGATTTGCCCATGAACCCTTCGTTGAAGCTTGAACCCTAGAGCCACGTAAGCCACAGAAGTTTCAAATCCCCGAAGCCCGAAGGCACTCTGCAACTCGAAAGAAACGAAAACTCGCAACACAAGAACTGAAAGTTGTGAAGCTGCATGCGCCCTACATTATAGACAAGCTATGCTAGTGCCTCAGGCCCCAACATCGAGATGTGATTTTACATCAACTCTTGTGGTCGTTATATCCTGAACTAAAACGAATTGCAACCCGAAGAAGCGGCGGTCCAAGCCCTGCTTCCGGTCCTTCGTCATGGCCGGCCTGAGACATTCCGGCTTGAGCTCCTCCAGGTACCTCAGAAGGCTCCGGGCCGATTGAACTCCTAAACTGGGTTCTTATTAAGGGACTTAATTTAAGTTACCATAATGAGGAAACCCTATTATTTACTATAGATCCCTATTATGGTAACTTTAATTAAGTTCCTTAACAAGAACCCAGTAAATCAGGGAGTTTCAGTTCACAAGCAGGAACCTGACGACCTTAACCCTGCCCAGCTCCCAAAATGGACCCTGTGATTTCGCCGGTTTAGGCCCATGATTGACTCTGGCTGTCTCTTACATAGGCGGCCTCTTTTCATATTTCCTTGACCTCCACTGATACTATGTGTACCAAAGGGTAGAGATCGCCCGTATGCTCCACCCAGCTCACATCCAAGCGATCTGAACACTGCAAACAAATCTATAATCTCATTCTGCCGAAATTCTACAAACACATACTTACCTATATCCCAAACACAAGAGATCTAATCTGAAAGTGCAGACCAGAACATGTCAACCCCTCCCCCAGCGCTGCAATCGGGTGGCTTGTTGGCCGCGGCCAGGGCCTGCCCCATGAAAAGCACTAGTCCCCTCTCCAGTAGCAGCTGCCGCAATGGACAAGTGCAGGCATGATGTATATAGGATCTGCGAGGAAAACTAGACTAAGGCTTGGGGAGTCCTACACAATATATGCAACATAGATAAATGAGCAAACAAACACGTCAATCTACAGCAATAAGCCTTTTCAGGAAAAACTTTCCAATGTAAACAAGTACTGCACCTACCTGCCTAGCTACCCAGCTAAATAGTTACCTACCTACCTACCTACCTACCTACCTACCTACCTACCTACCTAGCTACCTAGCTACCTAGCTACCTAGCTACCTAGCTACCTGCCAACCCACCTACTTACCTACCTACATACATAGCCATACACAAAGGAAGGGCCAGTGCTGGTTGGGGATGACCGGTCAGCGTGTTGATGTTCGGGCTCACGGCTCGTGAAGCTTAGGGGTTCCGGCCTTCCCAGCATCGGCAAGGTCAATCTTCTTGCTCTTCAGCTGGTTGGCCTTCTGGTTCCTGGGTCTAGGGTTCAGGATTTAGGGGTTTAGGGTTTTTTGCCTCCCACAAAAACCCTAATCCTTCGCTCCTGAGGGAAAGACCAACAATGCGCAATGCAAGCACAATTTCTTCCTAGCTACCAGTACCTCAGCCTCCAGTGGATCTGAGCCCCAATAAAGGCGCATCTCGAATACATGTCTACTGATCGAGGGCCAGATCTGGATCTGGGATGTGGAGTCACGGCTCAGCAAATGCCGCACCAGCAGCTTTCACGAGCCTTGCTTGACATTTCCACGAAGCCCAGCAGGCGTATCTTCCCGCCTCGTCCACAAGAAGATCGGCAATGTAGCTGCCCGGCATCCCTGGTTGAAAAACTATGGCTACGGTGACCGAACCGGAGAAGGCTGCCTTGATGGCAAACTCGAGATCGCCACAAATACGAATTGTTCCGGCATTGGGTGATGAAGTGACCACCCTTTCAACCGTGCTGTGAGAACGGTCGGCATACTGAGAAGTGAAGTGGGCACGACGAAGGCCGTCCTGATTCTCACTCATGGTTCACGCCACACTCCGACGGCCAATGGACGAGGTCTGTAGCCATTTCAAGTTTAAGGTTCAGGGTTGAAGAGTTTTAGGGATTCACCGTCTCCGGTCAACATTGGCTTGTTTCTGACTACTGCTCTAAAGGGTTGGATACGGTGACTTGCCCATTTCCACCGTCTCTGGTCAAACTCGGCTGACATTTCGAAGTTGCCGGGTCAACCAAAGCGGCATAAGCCACCCGTACTGCTGCTCTCAATACTGTTGTCTGATTGGAAGGTTTCTATCCGGACCATACAGCCTACCCCCTGTCGGGCTCTTGGTTATGATTCCGAGCTCCCGTAGTAGACATCCTGAAACCGCCAGGTGTTTTAGGGGTTAAAGTAGGCCATGAGGATCTAATGTAGGGGCCTTAATAATTAGAATAGGGTTTGGGGCCCATTATACTACAATTATTACAATTATAGTAAGGACCCCCCCCCCCCCCCCCCCCCC